CCCTCCTGGGCAGCCAGCCCTCCCCTTCGCTCAGCTACACCGGCAGCTTCTTCATCAAAGCAGTACCAGAGCATCCCCAGGATCAGGAATCCCTCTTCAACCTGATGTCGGGAATCCTGGGCATCTCCCCCTTCTCCTCCTCCGAGGGCCACCAAAGGCACCTGGATGCTCCTTACCCCTGTCCCGAGGTGGCTCAGAGCCAGTTGGACCTTTACACCGCCTCCTGCCAACCCGAAATGAACGGATCCACCCAAACCCCTTTCCCGGAGCAGGATTACAGCGGTTTCCCAACGACGGAGGGTCCTCAAGCCCTCCAGGCACAACCCACCTTGGGGAACACCTCCCAGTGCTTCTTCCAAAAAAAACTCCTGGACAACAAGCAGGACATCAAGCTACCTTCTGGTTCCCCGCCTCTGGACAAGTTTAAACCTTCCTGTGCCCAGTGGGAGCCCATCACCCCACATCAAGCCTACTTGCCCACCGGCTACCATTCTCCCGAAGCCTTCCCAGCTGGAGAGAGCAGCCAAGGGATGTTCCACCCATTGGGCTCCAAGATGGAGAGCGTCTTGTCCGTCAGCTGCCCGTCGGAGCTGGGCAGCCTGGCAGAGGATGCTGCCTGCTTCGGTGCCCAGCTGGGCTTCGGCTGCGAGCCAGAAAATTTCCCAGCCCGCAGGGATTTTGTCGACACCAAGATCCACAACCTCCCTCCTGGGTTAATGCCGGAGTTTGACACCTCCTTGGCCCAACCTGACGTCCTGCCGGGTTTGATGAGTTCTGCTGAGCTTCTCCATCCTCACCCCTCACCTTCTGTTCCCCCCACGGACTTTTTGGGCCACCCCAGCTCTTCCTCCATCTCCTCCATCCCTTCCCTGCTGCCTACCAACCCTCCCACCTTGGTGGAACCCAAGAAGAAGACTCGCCGGACCAAATGTTCTTCTAAATGTTTCTGCCCAAAACCCCACGAGAAAGCTTTCGCTTGCCCGGTGGAGAACTGCATCCGGAGTTTCGCCCGCTCGGATGAGCTCAATAGGCACCTCCGCATCCATACGGGTCACAAACCCTTCCAGTGCCGCATCTGCTTGAGGAACTTCAGCCGTAGCGACCACCTCACCACCCACATCCGCACCCACACCGGCGAGAAACCTTTCTCCTGCGACACCTGTGGCCGCCGTTTCGCCCGAAGCGACGAGAAAAAACGACACAGCAAAGTCCACCTGAAGCAAAAAGCCCGCACGGAGGAAAAACTCAAAGGTTTGGGCTTCTTCTCAGTGGGTCTCGCCTTCGGGACATTGTGAAACCCCAAAACTGTGTGCTGGGAGATGGCGTTTCCCGACGTCCCCCCGGAGCATCTCACGGGAGAGCCGGGGTGGGAAGATCCTCCTGGGATGGTCCCGGAGAAGATGACGGCGGATCAAGCCGCGGCGGGGAGGAGAGAGGGGCAGGTGGGGATGCAGAGGTGATGCCGCCGTGCTGGACCGCTGGATGCAGAGGAGGGATGCGGCAGCTCCGGCCACCCGGAGCCATCCCCAAACTGCAGGGACTGAGGTGTTGCTAGAGCTCCTATTCCAAGGAAGGGAAAAAAAAAATTTAAAAAAATTTAAAAAAAATAATTACAGAAAGAAATCACCACTGAGATGGGTTTTTATGGGTTCGTAGCGACCTGGCAGTGATTTCCCCCACCTGCACTTTACACGGAGCGGCCGAGCGGATATTTTCCGGGCGGCACAGTCGGGGGCTGTGGGTTGGTTCGTACCCTTAAACAAGGAGAGAGATGCCGCCGGGCGCCGGCAAGCGGTGCATAACGGTCCCTTTGGAAAGGTGATGTCGTTCTTATTGTTAGTATTATTATTTATTATCCTGTTTGTAAAAAGAAAATGGAATTTATCAGGAGTATTACAAAATCGTGTCTATTTTTCTAATTAAAGATTTGAGCTCATCTAAAACCTCGCTGGGGTTGCTCCTCTCAATCCTGTATAGCAACCGATGCCGGCGGGATTTCTGTTGCATTTTTGACCTCAAGTTGCCGCGTATTGGGGGGGTGCTTAAATAATTAAAAGGGAGAGAAAAAAA